GCATATGCAATAAATAATATACTATCAAACTGATTTGTAAATCAATATATTTTCATCTCTAAGAAGTATGACATTTCATATATTTTTTTATTGCAGTTTCATGATAAATAATTGTTATGATATCACTACTACAAGAAATACATATAACTGAGAGAAAACCCAACAACAAATAGTGAAGAGAGAAAATGATAATGCTAGTAATATTATATATATGCACATATTTTATATTTGTTCAGGTTTTTATATTTTCTTATTTTTGAGAAATTTTCCTCTTACTTTTATTATTTAGAGTATTTTTCAGGCATTTGTTATTTGATTAATAAGAATTATATTATCTTGTTTTACTAATACACAAACATCCAATTTGAAATATATTACATCATCAAATGAATATAACACATGTAAATACATTTGCTTTTAATGATATAATAATGGAGTATATTTAAAATTACTAAGAACAAACAGCAATATGCATCAATATTAAGTATAACTTTTTTCATATTATAAAATGTATATACATCTTATTCATTAAATTAAATTTATTTATATATAGATAAATTTAAACAATTCAATTCATATCATGTAAATAAATGAATATTTTGTTAAAATAATTCTTAAATACAATTATTTAAAATTATTTAACAATTTTATTTCATTTAAATTTCACTAATTTATGAATTTAATAAAAATAGTTCACTTAAAAGCATGTGGTCACAAATTATATGTCAATACTTTTCATATAAATAATTTTGTAGAAAATTATATATATTCAATTTACAAAATTATTTAAATTACTACCATAAAATAAGGATTAATTTTTAATTAATTAATAAGGATTAATTAATATCACTTATATTTCTCATTGTAATTTAGAAGCCAGACATGATAAACTGTGCTAAGCAATACACACTAATACATGATTACAAGTAAATTTTACTTAAATACATTACTAAAAATTACAGAACTACAAATGTTACAACTATAAAAGTTAATAAAATGAAATACTGTTTCTTCGATTTTGTTTAAAAAACAACATAATTCAGAGATATAAAAACAAATAAAAAGACAGTTGTTATATCAGGAAATTTTTATCTGCTGCTGCATACTAAAATCTGCTAAATATTAATAAATCAAGAATCAAGGCTTTTTTTTCTTTGTTTTACACATATAAAATTATTACTAATTCATGTTTATTATTCATTATGCAGCTAGAGGAATTCCAATCATTATAGTCCTTACCAAAATTTAATATTTCATCCCTTCCTAATGCAATATTAGAAATGAAAAATTGATTTTTCAGATTTATTTCCTTGAAAAGTTATTGACTGATTTTTATATGCAACTGAATTTTAATAATTTGATTTTTTAAGTAGATTAGATTTTTTAATTAAGTTCATTTTTAATTTACTAATGAATAAATTAATATTAATTGTGTAATATACTTATTTGCATACAATATATGAATAAAATTGTTAACAAATTCTGTACATAAAAAGTTTTGATATATGGTTAATAATGCATTTAGCACATTTCCAAAGGATGTAGGATGATTTTGAGGTCAAACATTTCTGTCTTTAGCTCTATAATATTATTAGCTCTATATTAGTCTCAGTCTTATCTCTATCTTAGGATGGACATATTTAAACTATAATTTATTTATATTTTGTATATTAGTTTAAATTTAATAGGATATAAAAAAATTTTTGACACAAGCATTGTTCTAAATTTTATTTAAGCTGTCAGGATGTCTTGTTACTCTCAAAAATCTATAATCAGTTTAAATAATTATCTCTGAATATAAAAAGAGAGATTATTATAGTTTTGATATTGAAACATGCTTGAGAATGCAGTTTTATATTAATATATTCTGTCTTATTTATTACATTCAAACAAATAAGACAGCGTAGTCTTATTCTTTTTAGCATAATAACTAATAAAATTAAAGCAAATGCAGATGTAAAACTCAAAATCACTAAATTATATTATTCAGATAACACTGTATTGATTGTAGAAATTAAATGTGATTTACAAATACAGTGAAACTTATCTTAGACAACCATCTAAAATTGCCTAAAAGCAGTCATTTTTGAGACATGGTTTTCTAAAGGAATATACTTTTTTCATAGCATTCAGCATTATGCTAATGAACATTTGAAACTTGCACTGTATTTATACTGTTGTTTCCCATTCTGACATTTAGGAAATTTAACAACTACATACGAGATTTCTCTTTCACTGAAGATCTTTCATTTCCATGATTCATCTGAATTTTGTCATTTCTTCAAATGTCAGAGTAAAAGCTTGAATTCTCCAGCCTGACATTGATTAAAATTCTAACATGTATGATAGAGTCTCACTCAAGACTTATTGTTGACTAATTGTTTACATTCACATCATGTGATGTTTATTTTATACATTTTCTTTTTCTATAATGAAATATATTTTTAGCACATTCAGAGGGATTCAGACCCTCTCTAGGCTTCACAATTCTTTCTTATTCATTATGAAGCAAGAATTAACTGATTTGGGTTACTTTCCAAATCCACAGTTAAATTCCTTTGCCAAGTGTTGTGATTTTCTAGTTTCATTTTGCTTAACAACAAACCCTTTACTTTAAAATAAGAGAAAGAAGTTTCCTTTTGCTGCATATATGACATAATGCTGACACTGAACATACAAACATGAAGCTGTAAAAATCTTATAATTCTTTGAAAAATGTTACTATAAGGGAAAATGGATCAAAAAAGGAGCAAAGACAGATCCAGTTAAATGTGTAGCCTGTCTGATATGTACTGTAATTTACAAATTTAAAACTCACATTATTATTACAGTATTTAAGATTAATTTTTTAATTTGATTTTATTCTAAATATATAATATTATAAAGAGATAAAGTTTGTAAGTTTGGATGTAGGGGTAATCTCTGAAACTACTCATCCAATTTCAAAAATTCTTTTACCAATATTTAGAATGGACCTTCAGAGTGGTCATAGGCTGTATATTATTCCGTTAAACATTCATATAAATTAAAAGATATCATCTAAGTAAGTGTTATATTTTTGGTGTCAGCGGGTGGTGAGGGGCAAAATGTGTACGCATATGAGATAGGTAACCACGCATGCAGTTGCATGGTCGGCAAAATACGCAGTGCACGTGTCCGAACTTGTATATTATATAGATGTCGAAATTCCCCCACAGGGGAGAGGGACAAAATTAAGGCTTACCGTGAAGAACTTGGCTTCTATTATACTATTTTAGATGCAGTTTTTTGCGTTTTAATAGGATATGTCAACAGAATGTACACTAAAAAGAGATTTTTCAAAATTCCCTCCCATGGGGAGTGTTTTACATTTATAATAGATACATTTTGAGCCACAGCAACACGTGGCCGGGTACAGCTAGTTCTAAATATAGTAGTTACTCCAAATAAATTACAATAATTAAAAATTTTCAAATTCCTTGCACTCCTTCCCTAAACTGAAAAGATTTTTGTGCCCTAAGGTGTTATCAGCATCAAAAACAGAAAAGAATAAAGGTCCATTAACAATAAACTTTGCCTCAGACATCTACTGTCCTGTTTTGTTAATAGAGGAAATTATGTTTAAAGGCAATTTTGCATTTACAGTCTATAGTACACAGTATTTCACTTTTAAACCATTTGCAGTATACATGGTAATTTAAAAAAAGTATGTTTTGCAGTATGTTGAATAGATGATCTTTTCAAAGAGAATCAAATTTGATTGATCATATGGGCTAAAAAAGCCATTCTGGAAAAAACTGATCATATTGTCATAATAGGGATGAAAGGGGTGGTTATTTTCAGAAGTTGTGCTATATGTAAAAATGAAGGATGTAATGTAATATGGAAATAACATATCTATTTAATTAACATTAAATATGTTATTTTATTTTCATTATTTACTTTTATTTTTCTAAGGATATAATAAAAATAATGTTTATAAAAACAAATGATAGAAAAACAAAATTTAAAAAATCTGATTAGCTAGTTAATTATAGAATACTCAATTCTTAATCAAGTATTTCTTTTTCTAATCCAATATTTATTTATTATCTACTGATTACTATTATGTAAGTACCTATATACAATAATAATTGAATATACCTATTACAGTATAAGGAATATACTTAGTAGTAGTAGTAGTAGTAGTAGTAGTAGTAGTAGTACATCAAGAGTGAAACATAAATAACCAGTAAATCATTATGAATAAAATAAAAAAACTTAATAAGTTAATAATTATTGATGTCTTTTAATATCAGAAATATGAATCAGAAGTTTGAATTTACCAAAACAAATGCCAATGAATAAAATCTTAAATAATAAAAATTTATTAACTTTTATAAAATTATCACCATCATTTTTCAATCAGTAATATATTAAAATTATTAGAAAAATTCCAGATATTTTTGTGATGATACCAATGATGAATGCCAGAAATAATCTGATCTTTAAAACATTATATTTAACAAATAAATCAAATTAATGTCAAAAGTAATCTGATTTATGAACTGTATTTCTAAATCAGATTACTTTTGACATTAATTCTTTATTTCTTAAATATCTATCTCAAATTGAAGCAAGACACTATGTAACAAAATATTTTTAAAAATAATAATAGTAAAATTAAAAATATCAAAATATAACAAAGTTAAAAATTTAAAAAGTACAGTTCTCCTACAATTGAAGTGCTTTACTTCATAACTCTCTAAATTCATTTCTTTTGACATCTACTGTTTTTTACTTTCATATAGACAAATCCTTGTATTCTCTTTTGCTATAGTGTGTGTATGTAAAAAAGTTTTGCAAATATACTTGATATATGCCATGTATTAATAAACTATTTATACATATTAAGTAAAAATTAGATAATGTATTATATGTAATATCATGCAAAATTTCACAACATTTAGTTTATATAATATATATATAGTATCATAAAAATGATATTTGTAAAGTGGAATAATCAAAAATAGATTCATTACCTTTGTTGCGAAATAATCCAAACAGATCTGCATGTAAATGAGCAAAAAACTGTCCAGCTATAACATTACTGTAGTTGTTTACTATATTGATGTACTTTTCGTTAAAATTTTCTTGATATAAAGATGGATTTATTTCATTCCATACTCCTCTGTTACTGTGTCCTGGAGATATATGTCCAATTATGTAAACCTGAAATATTTTCAAATTGAAAGAACTTTGAACTTTGAAAATTTAACATATATTCTGAAGTAAACTAATATTTAAATCTGATGTTTAATATAAGCAAGATGATTAATTTATATTAAAAACTGAAGCAAGATATTAGTTTAAGAAAAATCTGTTTTTCAAATTTTTGCATTTATCATTATTAAATCTAACTACCTTTTGATTAATTAATTATTCTGTGTTTGATTAACACACAGGTAAATTACCTTACAATTATAATTATTATACTAGCCTTCTATATCTTTGTAATTGCAAGATAATACTAAGCATTATAATAAAAATTAATCTAAATTATAGTCACTATATTATCAATAAATTTGAGAATTTTTTTATAATTGACATAATTAAAATGATATGTTTGATATATTTCGCATATTACAAATGCAACATGCAAAACCTATCAAACATTATTCTGTATATAAGTAAATTATTTTTGATAATATACACAAATATCTTTTATTAATTTTTTCTTATTACTTATATTTGTTTTGTATTATTATATTTGTTTTTTTGATTACATATAATCTTATTTAAAAATTAGTACAGTATTATTTAGAAAAAATTTTGTTTTATACAGCATGAATGCATTATGAAGCTATATACAACCAGTTTTAATTTTACAAATCAAAATCATTTATAATAATAAGTAATGAAATTAACCAGTACAGATAAAAGAGTAATGAAATCTCAATATGAATTTCCTCATATATAAAAATGGACTTTCCAGTCAAAATCTTTAAGCTTTGTATTTCTAACATCAACATGAATAAAAGAATCCTTAAAAAATCTTTGTGCACAGCTAAAGAAAAATAACTCAAGAAAGGACAATATTTTACTCAGAATTTTATTCAATGTCTTTTAACTATTGTATACAATTAAATTTTATTTAGGTTTTATAAAACATTAGTGGTATAAATAGTAGAAAGTAAATGATGAATAATGTTGATCATCATGTTATGTATATACTGGAAATTACACTTATAGTAAATCTTCTGAAATGCATTTCCAATACTAATAAAGGATGTAATTTGAACTTGATCCCTGACTCCATTTCATCACTTAACCTACAAGGTATGATAAGTCTGTACAATTAGCCAGCTTTGGCTACATCAGAAAAATTAATTAAAGAATTATCATTACAATCCTAAAAGTATTCCTAATGACTAAGCACTAACACTCATTTTATATTCTTTGTTTTTAAATTCCACTAAACAAGCTTTGTTTCTTGAATTTTCCACAAAAAATGTTAAAGTCCAGTTTAGCTTCAAATTCAAATCTAATTATTATTATTATTATGTTGGGTTTTGTGAGTTATACTTGGTTCACACCGGTGGCTGTGTACTATACCAGACCAGAGTCAAGGCATAGCAACCAAAACAAAACTAAAATTAAATAAGTGTGTCAGTGTGTGTGTCTGTATTCAGGAATTTCCTAACAATGTGGCATGTATTCAATATAGTGGCCTTCTGTAGTGTGATGTATGTATTTCTACTCAATTGTAATGTTCCCAGGCTTTTGTGTAGTGTGTGTGGTATCACACCTGTACAGGAGAGAACAACAGGTACAATAAGCACCCTATCCATCCTCCACAGATGCCTTATTTCCTGGGCGAGTTCTGTGTACTTGCTAATTTTTTCAGTGCATGTGTTTTGTACATTGTGAGTGTTTGGAATGGCTATGTCTATAATGTATGTGATTTTATTGTGTTTGTCAATGAGTGTGATGTCTGGTCTGTTGTGGTAAATTGTTTTATCTGTGATTATGGCTCTGTCGTAGTACATTTTGTGCGTGTTGTTTTCCAATACTGTCTGTGGAATATACTTGTAGTATGGTTCGTGGATGTCTGCCAATTTGTGTTTCTTTGCAAGCTCTTGGTGTATTATATTTGCTACTTGATTGTGTCTATGTAAGTAATCTGTCTGTGCCAAGAGCTTGCAACCAGAAGTGATGTGTTGTATAGTTTCTGGCATGATGTGACATTTTCTGCATGTGTCATTTGTGAGTGTTGTATCTTTGAGTATGTGTTTTCTGTAGTTTTTAGTATTTATGACCTGATCCTGTATGGCAATCATGAATCCTTCCGTCTCCCCAAAGAGGCATCCCCGATCTAACCAGCTGTTTGACGCAGTTTTGTCAACAAAATCCTGGGCCAGGTCGTAAGGATGCCTGCCATGGAGAGCCTTTTGAGCCCATGATTGCTTAATGTTGTCTATGCTTTTTATATGTTGTGTCATGTCTGTATGTTGTGAGTGTAAGTTTAATGGTGTGTTATTTGAGTCTGCTAGAGTTACTGCTTTATGTAACTGTGATGTTTCTTGTTTCTTGTAGAAAAACTCTCGCAGTGACTGTATTTGTTTGTAGTGAAGGTTAACTATGTCAATCAGGCCACGTCCGCCTTCTTTACGTGGAAGGGTTAATCTTTCTGTGGCGGATTTAGGATGATGTTGTTTATGCTTAGTAAGTGTTGTTCTTGTTTTCCTTTGGAGTTGCTCGAGATCTGTGTGAGTCCAATGTATAACTCCAAAAGAGTATGTGAGTACTGGGATGACATATGTGTTTATTGCTTTAACTGTGTGTTTTGCATTTAACTGTGTTCTAAGTATAGCGTTTAACCTACTTTGGTATTCTTTAATTAATCGTTGCTTTATTTGTGTATGTTCTGTTAGTTTGGCCTGTTGGAATCCTAAGTACTTGTAGAACTCGCCCTCTTCCATGGATTCAATAACGTCTCCATTTCCAAGTGCAAAATCTTCTTTCTTCAGGATTCCTTTTTCTATGTGAAGTTTTTTGCATTTGTCTAAGCCAAACTCCATTTGTATGTCCTTAGTGTATGAATGTGTGATTTGTAGGAGTTGATGAAGTTGTTTTTGTGTGGATGCATAAAGTTTTATGTCGTCCATGTACATGAGATGTGAGAGTGTAAACTGTGTTGTTTTTTCGTGTCTGATATTGTAGCCGTATTGCGTGTTGTTTAACATGTTGGATAATGGATTCAGGGCTAGGCAGAACCAGAGAGGACTCAAGGAATCTCCTTGAAAAATTCCTCGCCTAATGAATATTTCGTTTGTTTGTATGGAAGTGTTACTAACCCTGAGATGTAGTGTTGTTCTCCAGTGCTGCATAGTGTTTTCGAAGAATGCAATGAGTGATGGATGTATTTTGTACATGTGTAGAATATGTAGCAGCCAACTGTGTGGAACACTGTCGAATGCTTTTCTGTAGTCTATATATGCCATGTGTATGTTTCTGTGTTGTTTGTGTGCTTGCCGTAGAATGACTGAATCTATGAGTAACTGTTCTTTGCATCCCCTGTGATTTCTACGGCAACCTTTTTGTTGTTCTGTAAGAATGTCGTGTTCTTCAACATGTTTGTATATTTTGTTTGTGATACAGGATGTCAATAATTTGTAGAGTGTTGGAAGACATGTAATTGGTCTGTATTGTGTGGGGTCTGTGGTTTTGTTGTTTTTAGGTTTCATGTAGGTAATGCCCCGAGTAAGAAATTTTGGCATGTCTTGTGGATTGATGATGATGTGTGTTAGATGTTTAGCTAGTTCCTGGTGCAGTGATGTAAACTTTTTGTACCAGAAATTGTGAATGTTGTCTACACCAGGTGTCTTCCAGTTGTGTGTTCTGTTAACAGCGTAGCGAATGTCGTGTATGTTTATTTCAGCACAGGGCATAGTTGGTATGTTGTGCAAGTTTCTGTTCTCCTCCTCGATCCAGCCTGCATCAGCATTGTGTGTAACAGCATTGGACCAAAGAGAAGACCAATAAGTTGTGAGTTCTTCTTCTGTTGGTGTGCCACTGTGCTGTGTATCAGTGTTTGTTTTGGTACTGATTTGTCTGTAGAAAAGTTTTTCATTGTTTGTGAATAATTTATTTTGTTGTTTTCGTAGTGTACATGTTTTGTATCGTTTGAGTCTACGTGCTTTGGCTGCGAGTTTTTGTTTTAGTGTATCGATGTATTCTGTAATGTGTGTGTTGTGATGTTCATGTTTTGTGTGTGTTTTGATTTTCTTGAAAATGTTTTTGAGTTGTTTCTTTAATTTGGGTGTTATGTTGTTTTTAGTGTATTGTGTCAGCCTGCCTAATTGCTGTCTAATGTCATTTATTTGTGTTTCTATTCTTCTCTGCCAGGCAGGCTTGTGATAGAATTGTGTTTTGTGTGTGTCTGTCTGTGAGTGTATTTTCAGTCCATGGTGTGTTACTACTGTGACTGCCCCAGCATAAACTAATGTATGAATGTCTGAGAGTGTAGAAATTGAATGAATGTAGTTTGGTAGTAAGTGAGTGTTTACATAATTTAGTGTTTTTCCTACTACCTTTGATGTGTTGATTTTTGGTATTCGTGGTCTTTGTGTGGGATCTGTGCCTGTATATTTAGTGAGTGTTTCCTGAAATATAAGTGAGAGCATATTAACTAATTCTATGTCTATGAGATCAATGATAGATGAGGAAGTGCCTGTAGTATCATTAGTTGTAGTTGTTGTATGTGTGCTATTATCAATGCTTGTTGCTGAACTATCCTGACAGGTTACGTGATCTTCATTAATGTTAAGTGTTTCTGTCTGTTGATGTATTTAATCAGCAACCTGTTGTTTGATAAGTTCAAGTGTTGGTTATGGGATAAAGTTGTTGTGTATAATTGTTCTTTTTTGATCAACAACCCTTTGTTCGGTGACAGTGAGGTGAGGATATTGTTGTGTGAATGTGAATCTATGGTGTAGTTGTTATCTGTATGCTGTCATGTTTGTTTAAAGTTTTGTGATGGTTTAGTAAGTACAGATGATAAACTCTTTCATTTCTGTCGTCCATTTCATCCGTTGGCGTGGTTTTCCAGCCTTTGTGGTCTGTGGATGCATTGCCACAGAAACACCAAGGCTAGGTTGATTCCTCACATCCGTTGAGGGCATTGTAGTAGCCATAGTTGGGCCGATGCTGCTTTCGCCACCGGTAACCAA